GAAATTATACTGTATAGAAGGAAACCTTTTCTAAAATTTATTTTAGAAATGTTAGGGTTTTGTTTTTTTTTTTTTGATAAATCCAAAATCAAATTATTTTATGTATTCCTTAAGATAAATTACAATTATTTACATTTGGCCATCCTTTTTTAGAGCTTGCTCTATTTTCATACAACTTAATGTAAAAAAATCAATTTTTCACATTTGAGTAACATGGATAGCTTTTTCTGAAAAATAATATATTAGCATTATCTAGGGCCTTTATAAATTTCAAAATACTTTCATTTTGAAATACAGTTTGAGAGTAATTGTGCTAAAAGTTTGTCTAATGTGTAATGAAATTCTTCAGCTGAAAGATTTAACAAAACTAATTCTTCAAAACAAGTTATTAATCTAAAATTCCAACAATTTATTTGCTCAAATGTGCATATATATGAATGTTCACCTGATCTAACTGAAATAAGTAGATGTATAAATAATTCAGTCTCTAAAAGAAACAATAATTGAAACTTCAAATGTAACTGCTTTCTCAATGCAGCATGTGCATTTTTAAAAATTCTTTAAAATGTAGCAACGTATATATTTGAGCCTCTTTACTAATATGAGATTAGCACAATTTCTGTTTCATTCAATGTGGCTTCTACTTTAATTCTGTAAAAGGCAGTAGTTTATCAGGTTATCAATTAACTGTTTCTTATAGATTGTGACAATAGCAATATAATTATATACAGTTAAAAACTACTGAAGTAAGTAAAATGCCCTAGTCTCACCCTGATAAAAATATTTCAAGAGAAAAAGGAGCTTTTAATAACTTATGAAAAATATTCCACATATCCAAATTACATGCACTACTAAATTTCTTAAGGCACATAACTTTGTGAATACATAGTGCAGGGTGCTAGGAAAAACAAGTTTATACAACTCTAAAGTCTGCTTTTAAGGTTGTTACTTGGCTTTTTACCTCAAATAATTATTCTTACAGTTCTAATTAATGTAGTTGGACAAAAATTATAGGACAGATAATTCAGTGATGGCATGTCGATAAATCAGTCCTGTTATATACTCTTTGAAGTCTGCATACTTCTTGCCATCATTTTTCTCATATTTCAGTATATAGAAGCTCACATTCTGAGGCAGTTGTATACATTAATAAACATTTAAAAAATAATGTATTAAAAATATTAAAAAACAAAGCAATGATAGCAATACTAATTACCATTATGCAAAATACAAAAAAATACTACTACAGTAAAATACTGATTCTTTAAAAATAACATTATGCCTGACACTCACAGAACTTCCAAAGAGTTGAACATTCAGGGGAAAAAATATTTTTGTTAGAATGTCTTGTCAGTTACCAAACATTTTAAAGTAAAAGCCAAAACAAATTTTAAAATAACAAGCATGTTTTGGATAGAAGTATTTACAATTCAAAATATGTTACATATAAGAAGTCAAGCATTTTTTAAAGTTTTGGATTGCCTGGAATTATAAAAATTACATTAGGATACAATCCCTTGCCTACTTAACGTCCCACTGAAATTTCTAAGACCTGTGTAAACTATCATCTCATTGACCATGGATTTAGTCTGCTGAAGTCAATACTATAAACCTGTCAATGTCTAAAGCGCAAGTTTGTTAGTAATATAGCTTGGCTGGAGATCAGATATGCTTAAATATTTTCAAGTATTTCAATGGCCTTTAAAAAAAAACAAATGGTAAACGTTTTTACTTTACCATTCAAAATTACAAATGAGACAATACCAACAATGAAGGCACATTTGAAAACCAAACTTAGCTTTATTTGCGATAGGAAAAGTAACTGATCAGAGAGGTCCTTGGTGCTCTGTGAGCTTGCTTGTTTTCTTGCAGACGTTTCATTACCCAAACTAGGTAACATCAGTGCTAGCTAGGAAAAGAGCCCAAGAAAGTGGGCAAAAAATGATACAGCTCATAATCACAGACGCACACCTCAAGATTGAAAAAATATCTGCACACCAACCTCAAGAACAGTTGGAACAGACCTACCACATCAGAGTACATGGAGAGACTGGCCACAACCATCATGAATACAGTACATACCAGAGACATGCTGGGAAAAGAAAAACCAAAATGCAAAGCAAGCGCCTTAAACTTAATATTTTGGGTAATGAAACGTCTGCAAGAAAACAAGCTCGGAGAGGACCAAGGACCCCTTATGTCAACCCTAAGCTACAAATATTCAATTTTATCGGTACTATCTGATCAGCTTTAAAAAAAATGGTTTTGGTTGCCAGAGCAGAGATCGGTCACTTATAAGACGGGCAGTGAGCAACATGCGTTTACCTGCACTCAGAAATGGGCGGGGGGAGGAGGGACTTGTTTGACAAATGAAATGGCCACTTTAGTTATTTGCATGGTTTATTTATCGCTTATGAGTCGGAGAAAAAAGCTCAGACTTCAGGGGAACTTTTCGTCCACTATTGGGGTCTATTACCACATTCTGAAGTACTAAGAGCCGAAAGAGGGGTGGGGGTGGAGATGCCTCTGAATCAGAGGCAAAACAAGCGAGACACAGAAGCGCCCCCCCCCTCCTCTCCCCTCCTCGCGGAAGCCAGCGTTTTCTTGCCCCACTCTCCCCAGACTCCCTCCCCCACTTCCGGCGAGAGGCGGTATAATGCGGAAGTGATGGGTCAGTCACAGAGGAAGTGAGGCAGGTGCCTCAGACAGCAGCACCGAGGAGCTTCGTTAGAGGAGGTAAGGAACATTGAACTAAGAGGTTGATTTGACCTGTTTGGAGTCCTCGATCTCACCCTCTGGCGAGCCTTAACTATCCTAAAGAGCCAACTCCATCTTTTCCGGAGTGACGGATCTCCAGAGGTGTGAAGGGAAGTGGTGTCCTCGCACAAGATGGAGGCTTTATGAACCGCGGTGACACCCCCCATTTTTCTGTGTCAGCCTGTCAAAGGGGGGGGGGGGTGTTGACTCGGCGGCTTCTTTGTTTTTATTATTATTTTCTTCTGCCTGGGTCTAGGTATCGCTTGCAGCCTCTCTTCACAACCACCAACCCAACAGTCCAACGAGGAAAGTCTGGTGGTCGCAGTATATAGCCTGTTCTGATATGGACACCGGAGACCTCTTGCAGTTGCTTTGCTTTGCTTTAACCCAACTGACCAAATAGCTTTTCTGCTGCTTTCCTAAGTCTTTGATGCGAAAATGCAAAGATAGCGGTGCTGGGGGCTGATACTTAAGTGAGCTAAGTCATCTTCAGTGCGGTTAGCCAACATAGAGAACCTGGAAGGGTTGGGTAGTAGAGACGGAAAGGGAACTTGACAGTACATATTGCTTGAAAAAAACATATTTTTGTGCTGCCTCTATTAATTTTATAAGGTGCAGTTTTTGTTCCTGGAACTATTGCGTTTTTTAAAAAAAATATCTTGTACATCCCTTACCGCTACCATTAGTAGTCAGTTTTCTCTTGTTCATGCTTCCCTTAAGAAAGCAGTTTTCTTTTGGAAAAATACTGCACATTCCAATAAGGGGGGTTAAATGGAATACTGAAACCCTACTTCATAACAGAACCATTGCTTTATATTCTGCTATATCTTTTCCTAAATAGAATGTTTTTTATGTATTTAAAAACATTATATACATTTTTGTATATATAAGCAGGAAGAGGAATATACATAAACCAGAGAATTACTTTGTCTCTTTTATATACGATATTCAATTTATTTCTAGGTGTCTGCAACAGTGATTTATCACTCCATACAAATTACCTATTATGTTGCTGCTACTGATATGACTTATATTCTACTCTACATATTTGCTTCTTGGAATTTGATTACTCTCCTTTAGCAGATGACAGTAAAAGCAAATTAATTTCTGTGTTGTGAAGCTGAGTCAGATTATCCCAGATCAAGCTAAGTCCTAAATGAATGTGGAATGCTCAGTGGTAATTAGAATGATTATTTGTAAATGCATCACCTTTAAAAATACCATTTCTCATCTTTACTTTTGGGTATGATAGGGTGCAAGTTAAAGTAAATGCCACTTTTTTCAATTTTAGTTACTAGACCACAAATGTTTCTAATTGTAATGGAACGGAAATGCTTCTAACACATTTGCAGTTATATGTTGTTGCTTGCAAGCTGCTTAGAGTCAGGAAACTGAAGTGGTTTAGAGGGATCTTTTATATATTTAAAATAGGAATAAAAGAATAGAGAAACTTTCTGGTACATTTACTAACATGCTTTATCTGGCTTTCCTGTTTGGGATATTATGGAAGTAAAACATATAAATAAGTTAGCCAACTTGCTAACTGCATTAACAGGTTCTAGCATTTGTAATACAAATATGCCAGTGAGAATTGAAATGTCTATCATTAGTAGACCAAACTATAAACAGCTTTTCATTTATTTAGCTTGTATATTACAATGATTTTCTGTATCTATATAGATATTTTAATTTTATACAAAAAGGAATGTTTCTTTTGCATCTTGTGATCTTTCAGTTCTCTACAAATTTGGATGTGATCCTTAACCTGGAATAAATGCATTCCTTAACCTGGAATGCATTTATTCTCTCCCTGTTTTGTTTAGATGCATCAGGATGTATTTTATATAAAATGTGCTTTGACAGATATGCATTTTTACCCATACTGAAACAATTTGCTTTAAAATGTTTTAGTACTTTAATGTGCATATATTAAATGTGATTCTTCTTATGAAACAATATTATGAAAAATATCACATTTTTATCAAGTGCTGATAGCTTTTAACATTCTAACTATAAAAATATATGACTAATAATATGAAAACAATCCTTTCAGATGTTTAAAAAGGAACAGCTGAAGCAGCTTATTAAAAGTATGTTTTGGAGCTTAAAGGATGAGTAGTAGTGGAAGTAAACAGCCTATCTTCAGAAAAATTTCCATTGTGTTGGAACAGTCAGTTCAGATATCCTGTGTGATTTTTGAAGAAGGCATAAAACATGTAATAATAATTTGAGCTGGAAATAATAATTAGGATAGATAAATGCTTGATTAACATAATATTAAATAACAATGGTTATATGTATTAATTACTTTAGATCATCAGTTTCTGAATTGAATCTTCTTGTGATGTGATATCTTGCATTAATCGGGTGAGTATAATGATAACAATTACGTGCATATAAAATCAGAATTTGTTATGTCAGTTGAAATGATATTAATTTAATTTGATTATGGATATCTCTAAATATTTAGAAAAATCTTGTGTTTTCTTTTTTGATTTTGCTGTACAGTTTTGTCTTTTGCAAAGGAAAAATGGCATTCAGTAAAGGCTATCGTATCTATCATAAGCTGGACCCACCACCATTCAGTGTAATTGTGGAAGCTAGAAACAAGGAAGAATGTCTCATGTTTGAATCTGGAGCTGTGGCTGTTCTCTGTAAGTTGACGATCACTGCAGATATAAGCAGGTTGCTGATAATATGTGCAAAAATGAAAGATTGAAACAGAACAAATGGTGTTGAGTCACCATTTGTGTTTTGCTAGTAACTTCATCTGTCCAATGATTTCTAATCTTTTTCTTTTCAGTCTTTTACATTGCAGTTTTCAAATTAGCATATTTTATTAGGATAGATAGATAGATAGATAGATAGATAGATAGATAGATAGATAGATGATAGATAGATTTAATTAAAAAATGAATAAAAGAATAATAAATTCTTGGACATTGTGCTAAATGTAGTCTACCAGATATTACTGAAATATAATTCTCAATAGACCAGCCAGTATGCCTAATAATGATGCCATGATTTTTTTGGGGGGACAGAATAGCTTATAGCTTGTGCGTTCAAATGGCTTGCAGTTAGCGATTAAATATGAGTACACGTACACCATACTCCATCTATGACTACTCTCCTCACAAGAAACAAAATTAATGCCATTGAGAATGCTAGAGGGTTAAACTTCAAACTATCCTCTCCACTGGCCTGCCTCATCCTGCCTTACCAGTTGTGCTAATGAATTTCTGAAAGGCCTGAATCACCAAACAAATACGAATATTGTTTGGATTCTATTTTCAATATTTGGCGGTTACACTGGCCCAATTCAAATTTAAAAACATTTCAGATTAATTACTTTCTCTGATTTTTATAAATAAGCTACATTAATGAATCTCCCTTTAATAAAAGCCATTTTTTATTTTTGACAAGAAAGATAAAAGCTTTACTCCTATCTATTTGATGTGATATAAAACTGTTTTTAACTTGTCTGGGATATGATGTTGATGCATTGTTAGATGTTGCAACATCAACTTTTGCTTTTGCAATAACTGCTATAAAGGGGTTAGCAACTCTGAATTTGAGTGTTTGTTTTAAACTTACTAGATAAACTTTTCTAATATTTGCACTCCAGTCTTAACCCTGAATAAATGGGGATGGTTGAGATAAAACCTGGTAACCTACTTTGTAAAAACCTCCTCAAGAAAATTTTATGAAAAGGCTTTTAAATTAATTAGAAATGATGCCGAATGGAAGGATCCCAAGACCAGAAGGTATGCAATAAACTAAGAGGGAATAGCAAGGATCTTTAGTGAGTAGTCAAAGCATTAATAATGTGCCTGAGGTAATTCCAGCAGGAATCCCAGCTATTGATGCAGGCACTGATAAAAGCAAGGATATGTGCTTTACAATGGCACATCCAATAGCAACTTGGAATGTCTAAGGAATGAGTCAGGGTAAAATGTCAAACAGGAGATGACCTTGACCTCCTAAGCATCAGCAAGCTACATTGGATAGACAATGGCTATTTTGCAGTCTGGAGAATTCACTATAGAGTATATTACTGGGATTAACACCAGAAAAATGAACGAAGTGGCATTATCACAAGCAAAAAACTTACCCAAGCAATGGAAAATTTCCAACAGTTAATCATCACATTTTGAGCATACAAATTTGTGCCAAACCCCTCAAAATCATAGTTGTCCAGTCTGTGACCCAACAATTGATACAGTGGAGCTTGAAATAGAGGGTTTCTGCTCCAGTATTGAAAAAACTGGTGGAATTCATTAGTTCAATTTTTCCATGGAAATCGATTTTGAATTATGAATACCTGGTTCAAACAGCACAAGTGTGCTTATACATTTGGACCTCATGAAATAAATTGCACTGTGATCAGATCAACTGTCCTCTGCAGTCATCACTGGTTTAGTTCAGTCCTCCCTGTCAAAATGTACCCAGGTGCTAATTGTGGTTCAGATCATGAATTGTTGGTGGCTAAGATCAGAGTCATATTATGTGACATCAAAAATGCAGCATCACTGAAGAAGTTTAACATCACCAAAATTTCTTCTATGTGTGCAATTGAGGCCAGAAAAAAAGGTTTCAGCTGCTGGATGTTGCTGAGAAGATGTCAAACAAACTGTAGGAAAAAATAATACTAATTGGCCATCATTAAAACAGCCGGTATACATATACCATACAAGAAGCCAGAGAAAAAGTGTAGTGTAGGTGGTTCTCAGATAAAAACAGAATGGCCAAATGAAGAACCGCAGCCAAAGCAGCGGACAAACAAGAAGCAAGAAGATTAAATGTGTATTTCTAAGGAGCAGCAAGGTGCAGTCACTATACACAAATCAGGAGGTCAGTGTGCAAATACAAGACAGAGACACTGATTAGTTTGAAATGTTATTTATTGGTAAAATATATTAGCTGCCCATCTCACCACAAGATAACTCTTCAAAACAGAAAAAGGAGTGTGGCAAGGTTGCATTTTTTAAACTTTATTCTACCTATGTGCTGAAGTGATCATGAGGAAGTTGGAACTTGAAGAATTGAAAATCAGTGTCAAGATTGAAGGAAGGTTCATCAACAATATTCAATATGCTGATGACACAACTGTCAGAAACTAAAGAGGCCTGAAATTTCTGGTGAAAAAGACTAAAGAAGAAGATAAGAAATTTGGCCTTTTCCTAAATGTCAAAAAGACCAAACTCATGATCTGTGATGGAATTTGCACTTGCAGAAGCAGAAGGAAAGGATTTTGCCAAATCAGAACTTCCTTGGAAAGAGACCTGTACCAAGAGACAGTGTAGTCCCAAGCTGGGAGAGTGGAAGAGGTTCCGGTAACCACACCCTAGAACCTTCTCAGGATATATGTAATGTCTTAGAAAGTTACAGCTATAATTTGGCAAGATTCTGTCTATTGATTGTAAGCAAATAAAGAACTGGACTTGATTGGCTCTCATCATCTTGTCTCTGGATTTAAGTCTGACATGACCACTGCAAAGAATGGAAATGTCAAAGTAACAAATGACAGTGAAGAGATTAAAAGCATGCATCAATTCCCTTTCCTTTCATCACAGATTGATCAAAGCAATGCATATAGTCCAGAAATGAAGCATCAAATCCCCGAGGGCCACACAGCAAGCATGAATCAAATACAGAAAAGGCAGGACACCAGCCTAGCAATTAAATGCATATTAGTATGCGCTGTTGTGTTTCCCATAGCTATCTGCAGTTATGAAAATTGAAAAAAATTAGACACTAGGAAGAATATTGAGTAATTCAGACTGTGGTGTTAGAAACAGCTCCTGCCTCGAATGGCAAAAATGTGACACACACACACACACACACCCAAAAAATATAGGGCTAAACACCATCAAACTGTCATCAACAAGAGCATAAAACAACTGAAGCCATACAAGACTGCAAAATGTGGAAAAAACTAGTCCAGTTTGTACACATTTGAACAGATAAGATCATAATGTTTAAAGTAAAGGATGTAGTTGAGTGAAAAAGAAAGCTTCTAAGGATTATATTGTACTTGAACCTGTTCAGAAATGAATACTAGAGTTTATAAATCAATGCAAGATCAAGCAATGTAGTGTCATACATGAATCCATGATATCTACTGTTTATTACATGAGATCTCATGAGATTTCAGCCATTTAAAATGAGGGAAAATACATTAAATTGTGTAATTGTATCATTACTTGTAAAAAGTTGCTGAATCCTCATGCAGTATGAAAAGAGATTTCCTTTTATTTTTACATTCATCAATTAGAATTTGCTTCAATACGTACTGCCTTTTGTATTAATAAATGTTTTATTGCTATCATGAATAAAACCTACTTGGTCTTGATGAAATAAATGGTTATCAGATTTGTTAACTAACCCATTATTATTGCAGTACAGGCCTCTGCCTCCAAACTCTCATGCAAGTGATTGGCACATTAAAAGTGATTTGAATTGCTTAAAATATAATATTTTTTTAAAAAAACTAACTAACTTGGGAATACAACAGTTATAAAATTCAAAATCCTCCTGGCTTGTGCAGCCCACAGTAGTCTCTCAAAGGACCAAACCTGGTTATAGCAGGAAGAAGGCAATGAAGGTCAGCTAGAATTGCAGGGGCCAAAAGAACATAGATAGGGGAGATGGGTGGGAAATTTGAAATGCTTTTTCAGTCATAAATTGGCAAGTGCCTGAATTTTGAACATGTGACAGCGGGAATGCTACAATGGCTGTAGCTTTTAGGGTCTGGTTCAGCACCGTCATAACAGTTACTGAGCTAATGATCGTAAATTGAAGGCTACCTGTAGTTTCTCATGGAACCTGTCAGATTCTTGCAAAATCTTGAGAGTTCTGCAAAACAGTTTGATAGCTCCATTCTAAAGCGTATACATTCATCTATTTTCTTAAGTATTCAATCATATGACAATTATACAAACCTAGTTGCTTATTTGGAATTGTAAATACTTTGAACTAAATGAAGAACTTTAGAATGAATTTGTAAACAAATTTTTTAGCAGATCTGTACATTTTGAACATTTATTTAAACAGCATGTGCTGAGAAAGAGGCAATCAAGAATATGTACTCCAAGGTAATGGATGCATATGGACTCCTAGGTGTATTAAGGTTAAACCTTGGTAAGTACCTTCTATTTTTTATTTAGGAAATTGTTTGCCTATGTTTTCACTTCAGAAAAATAATAGTCGTTAGAATTTCTTTCAGATTGTGATGTTTTTTCTGTAGCTTCTGTAGTAGGTTCACTTTTCAAAGAAAACTAATTTTGTTTATACACCAAGATGTTATTGAAAATCAATTACTGATAATTTTATGTACTGAGTACCGTATTTTTCAGAGTATAAGATGCACTGGAATTTAAGACACACCAAGGTTTTGAAGAGATTTTTTTTTAAAAAAGTAGGTAGGTAGATAGAGGGATAGAGAGGGAGAGAAAGAGAGAGAAATACAGTAGGTAGGGAGGGAGGGAGAGAGAGAGTAGGTAGGGAGAGAGAGAGAGAGAGAGAGAGAGAGAGAAATTTGGTAGGGGAGGAGAGAGAGGGTAGGTAGGTAGAGGGATAGAGAGAGAAATAGAAAGATAGAGATAAAGAGAAATACAGTAGATAGGAAGGGAGAGAGAGAGAGTAGGTAGGTTGGTAAGTAGAGGGATAGAGAGAAAAATGTATAAATATATATAGAGAGAAATATCAGTAGATAGGGAGGGAGAGAGAGAGAGTAGGTAGGTTGGTAGGTAGAGGGAGCGAGAGAGAGAAATACAGTAGGTAGGTGGGGAGAGAGAGAGAGTAGGTAGTTAGGTAGATGTTTCCAAGTATATTTATCCATGTGCTGGAGAAGGAAATTGCTGACAAATCTGCAGCACCTAAGACTTTGTTTCTGCTGGCACAGCACTTGATCAATGTAATTCTCATTACATTGGGGGCTTGCAGAGTGCTCCTGGGAGATGGGGTGGCAAAAAGAAGCAAAAAAAATTTTTCATCAAAAAAATTGCATGCATAGCCTTATGAAGGCTTATAGAGTGCTACTTGAGGGCTGGGGGGGGGGGGACAAAAAACAGCCCGTCTTTTGCTCATTTCTGCCCTCCACAGCCCCCAGGAACTCTGAAAGCCTCCATAAGGGTATGCACGGCCATTTTGGTGAAGGGGGCGGGAGGTAAAAATGCTATATTTGGTGTATAAGACACACCCAGATTTTCAGCCTCTTTTTTGAGGAAAAAAGGTGCATCATACTCTGAAAAATATGGTAATTATTTTAAAATAATTCAGTTCTGTGTTGAAACAGTAAAACAATTGACAATTATTTTTTCTTGAACAATAGTAATCAGTTACTATTTATTACAGGAGATACATTACTGCATTATTTAGTACTTGTCACAGGATGCATGTCTGTTGGAAAAATTCAAGATTCTGAAGTTTTTCGTGTTACTTCCACTGATTTGATATCACTAAGAGCTGATCCTTCAGATGAGGAACGTGTCTCTGAAGTGCGCAAAGTATTGAATTCAGGAAACTTTTATTTTGCTTGGTCTTCTGCTGGAGTCAGTTTAGATCTTAGTCTAAATGCTGATCGTAACATGCAAGAAGAAAGTACTGATAATAGGTTTTTCTGGTGAGTTTTGTTTTAAAAGTTCTATCCATTATGTTAGTTTATGTAACTGTTATGAAATGTCTCATGGTTTTTACATATCTACTTTTTAAAAGTTGCATTTTTTTTCTTAAAGCAATGTATTATTTTAAAGAATCAGATCTTGCAGTGATTGTTGAAGAAATTTTCTTGAATATTTAGTTTCCATGTATGGGGGGAAACACAAATCTGAGTTTAGAAGTGGGTTGTAAATTTCTCTCCAAAATTACAGAAACAGTTTAAAGCACTCCACAGAAGACTTTAAAACTTCTTTGTTTTAAATGTGTAGTGTTTTATCATGTTATTGTTTAAACATTATTTAATTCTTTGTCTATTCACCTGAAAATAAACTTTATTCAATATAGTCAGTGTTAATCTGGAGAAACACACATAAATGGTTGGGAAAAATATTCTCAAGTAATATGTTAAATGAGAAATTCCATCTGCTATTTTCATTTAGGCTTCATTTAGACAACTCTGTAAGTTGTCATTTGAAATTCCCAATGAAAGTAAACTGAAATTTGTTAAATGTAATTTATTAAGTCTAATTTATAAAATATTGTTTGATGTAGAAATATTTGAAATGTTTTGAATTTCAAATGTACATTTTAAAGTCTGAATAATTTTTATACTTTCTTCCTATTTTCCCAAATTCACATATTAATTTTTTTAATATATATAATACATATTGGTTTAAATTTAATTTCGGAATTAAATTATGATCCTTAATTTTCTGATAGGAATCAATCATTGCATTTGCATCTGAAACATTATGGAGTAAAGTGTGATGAGTGGTTATTACGACTCATGTGTGGAGGAGTGGAGATTAGAACTATTTATGCAGCTCACAAACAAGCAAAGGCTTGCATTATTTCTCGACTGAGCTGTGAACGAGCTGGGACCAGATTTAATGTTCGAGGAACAAATGATGATGGCCATGTAGCCAATTTTGTTGAAACAGAGCAGGTATGGTAAGGATTTAACTGTTCATTAATCTAATTAGAGTATGTAAATTGGGTTTTTTTCTGTAGGTGATAGCAGCCAAACTACACCTGCAAGAGACACATTACATGGATTTTGTCATTATGGATTTGAAATTATAGGGCATAGAAACAAAATCAGTTTTATTTTTACATTTCTGTATAAATTTGCCCTTTGAAGCAAAAATTCTCAAAGCATATATTAGGAAGTAAAATTTATTGAACATGTTGCACAGAATTTGGTACTATAACAATTTTTCTAATAAATAAACAAGCAAAGAAACTTTTTGAATTATTGTTCTTGGTTCTCTCTGAGCTTGGTTGTTTTTTTGCAGACATTTTATTGTCCAACTAGGTAACGTCTTCATTGCTAGAAGGGAGTGGAATTTGCGCTCTGTTTAATATACAGCAGCTGTCATTGTTGCCCTGTCATTGTTGGTGGGGTGTTGTTTTCTCCTTGGTAGTTTTTGTTAGTAGTTACTTTATTAGGGTACTGTTTGTCTACTATTTGTGTAGTGTTAATCTTGGTGTTAAACCCTGCTCATCTGGGTGTTGATTAGTGGCAAGGTGGTGTTCTGGTATTTTTCTTTCTTTTTAGTTTTGGGTAATGAAACCTTGAAAATAACCAATCCCATAGAGCACCAAGGACTGCACATGGAAGAAATTGTCATAAACTAACAGAGGAGCCTGAAGAATAATGATTATCTGCATTTTAAGTAACAGTTCAATGTTAATTTCATTTTAATCCATAGAATGCACTTCCTCCATGTTAAAATTTAAATGTGGAGAAGTGTGGAAGAATATGTAAAAAAAACAAAAGATAAACCCTGATTTATTTATTTGTTTTAAGACAAATTAATACAATAAATATATGTCCAACAGGTGATATTTCTAGATGAATGTGTGTCATCTTTTATACAAATTCGTGGATCTATTCCATTATTTTGGGAGCAACCTGGCTTACAGGTATGAAGGGTATCACTTTTCCATTGTGTTTTCTGTAATAATTGAATAAATTGTTTAGAGGGCAGGTAGCCAATACATTCTAGAGAAATTAGTCTCTGGAGACTGTGAAAAACACAATTGTTTAAATTGTCAAAGTTATTGTTTATGAAGACATCAGAGTTGTTTCTGTCCCACTTATTTGTAGCTCAAGTGATTTTTAAAGAGCTTTCCTCTTTGAACGTTTTGTATTTTAACTCCTATAAATACACAGTAGGATTTAAAGAGCACCGAGTTGGAGAACTTCTTACAAGAATCTCAAATATTGGAAAATTGAGATTAGAAGTCTCAGTCCTGCCAAAACTGAGTGGCTATGTTTGCTCACCCCACCCCACTCCCAGTTTGAAGGTTTTTCACCTTTGGACTTGAGTGGGCTACCATTTCCCCATTTGAAATTAGTGCACAACTTTGGTGTTGGAGAAGATTGCTAAGAATTCAATAGAAAGTCAAGATTGAAGTGCAGAATTCTCACTGCAGATACAAATTATCTAGCTTCAAGTTATCATATTTTGGACAGTTCATGCAGATCAACTGCAGCACAATGGATGGACTTGATCCAGTGAAAATGGATAGGAGTAGTTAAAAATAAAATTTGCTGAATCCAAATGTTTTTGTGAAACAAGAAATGAATCCAAGGACATAGTAATTAAATCACTTTTCTGTTTCAGGTTGGATCTCATCGTGTCAGAATGTCAAGAGGATTTGAAGCGAATGCACCAGCCTTTGACAGGTAAAATTCTTTTCAAGAATATCTTCACAATTAATATGTGATTAATTTTATTGGAACTAAAACAAACCTAAAGATTAACATGTACATTGTTGAATTCTGATTTAACAATTTGTAACATAATTTATGTTAGTATCTTAATTATCTAAAAATAATCATATTTTGTTTCCTGAGTAATGAATACATGTCAAAAGTAAACTTTGTTATAAGCTTAACTTGCCTTTGCCGTAAAGATTAAAATTCTTTTGTACAGTTTCCATATAATTTCATGCACAGGTTAAGAGTTGGAAATTGCAAAAGCTTCATCTGTCTGTTTGGTAATAGCCAAAGAATAAGAGCATCTTCCACTCAAATGCTTAAATTGCTAGATTTTTATCATTCTGAGAGATAACAGACCTTTTTCACTTTTCAGGCATTTTCATACTCTTAAAAATATATATGGTAAGCAGATAATTGTGAATCTTCTTGGTTCAAAAGAAGGAGAGCATATGCTTAGCAAAGCTTTTCAGGTAAGAATATTGTAACCATTACTAAATTTCCCATTCTGGCAATATTGAACAAGGGTTATCAAATCTTGCATTCATAAAGATAGAACAATTGGATTTCTTTGCAACTTACTTCTATGTAACATTTGAAAAAAAAATTATCTGACATCAATAAGATTGTCTTTTGAATTTTAAAAAAATAAATGAATCTTGAAAGTATAAACCAATTAAAATTAGTTCAGTATTAATTTTTAAAACATGATATTAATAACTCAAAATTATTTTAAGATCATGGCAATGAATTAACACTGATTTTATAGACAAGGTTCAGATCTTAATATATGACAGGTGAAGTATCAGTAGTAATATGTCAGTAATCCCACTAAAGCATCTTGATTTTCAGAAAGTATCTTACACTAATTTTAATAGAAGCATGGTATTTTATCTAGAATGTATTAAAATGTTCATTTACAACTATTAGTAATAAAGCTAACAGTTAAAATAACAGTTGTTGGCAGCATCGTATCTTTACGACTATTGAAATCATACCAGATGTCATTGTCATCTGTCTACTTGTCAGATGACAGATACTGACTTGTCTATCTTGTCTTCTGCTATCTCAACAGAGCCACTTGAAGGCATCTGAACATGTTAATGACATCAAAATGGTAAACTTTGACTATCATCAAATGGTGAAAGGTGGAAAAGCAGAAAAGCTGCATGGTGTTCTTAAACCACAGATCCAGAAATTCTTTGAATGTGGATTTTTTTATTTTGATGGAAAAGAAGTTAAAAGGTTTGGTTATTTCATTTCTGATGATTTGCAAATATAAAATTATATTTTGCTTTTGCCCTAATAACACAGTTTATCCCGTGTTTGTCTTCTTCCACTACAGATATAAATGGTGAAAGTCAGTTTTTCACAAATGTGTGTGAAGTAGCACTTTAATTTTGATATCCTGACTAACATTTTGTGAAAGAGTTTTATGGTTTATATGCAGATTATTTAATATTCTTCTTGTATTTGGTGCAGATCACAGAGTGGTACTATAAGAACAAACTGCTTGGATTGTCTAGATAGAACAAATAGTGTGCAGGCATTTATTGGCTTAGAGGTAAGAACTTAATTGTATTGCACAATTATAGTTTGGGGGGAACCATTGAAATTAATATTCATTGAATGTTATATCTTAAATATTAAATCAATGTAAGAGGGTGGATTATTTTTTCCATTCTATTTTTCATTTTTGTAAAAGAATAGATCATGGCATACAAGTTTAATAAGTTAGTCTTATTATTGAGCAAATCATAACAATACAGGTTTCCGGTCCTTTATTTTTCCTTGTAGTGTTAAGTTTCCATTTCATAGAGTTAATAGATTTATACAAATTTATACAATTACTTTATTGGAGCAAAAGTTAACTAAAAAAAGTTCATGCTACAAACCTTCCTAATACTGACATTTTAGGAACCAAAACGCTTACAGTCAGAAGGTGAAAATATCAATAAATAATGCACAATATTAAAATCTCCATGAATGCATTTTTCATAAGCATAATTTTTTTGTTAGCCGCCTCTTTTAACAGCCATCTATTAAAGTATCTTGAAGAGTGAAGGAATTGTGATTAGTCCATGAAAATTTTTATTTTGAACATGCTTTTAAAAAAACATCCTGTGAAAGTTTCAGTAGAGAAGATCTTGCCAATGCATATACCGCAATATTAAAACGTTAATTAAAACTTTAAAACTTTTGGAGTATGAAAGTATTGTTTGAAAGTATTGAGGCACATGGATATTCCTGCTAAGTTTTAATAGTAGAAGATAGGATTAGGCTTTCAATGGACAACTAGATGTAACAGAACATATTTTAATCAAAAATATATACATTGAGGTTAACTTTTCCAGTTATTTATTTGCCTCCCTTCTGCATCCATATGCATACTATCAAACACTTTTACTGGCATGTTCATCGTTGTCATGCAGTCTTAATAGGGACCATCTGCAAATAGAAAACTGGGTACAATATAATTTAAAAAACAGCTAAGATTGCATGGCAACGATCATCATGCCGGTAGATGTGTTTGATAATATGCATATGGATGCACAAGGGAGGCATGCACACGGGGGGTGCTCTTCTGGTTTCCGGCATGTGCACATGCGCTCCCATTTCGGCACTTGGTGCTGAAAAGGTTTGCCAAAACTGACCTATAAGTTTGGAGCCTTAATCACTATACTAGACTGTCCCGTGTTCATTCTGTCTAAATAAATAAGGCGGGAATGAAGAAAAACATAATAAGACAGTTTTTGCTCCTCTTATCGTGTAGATCTTCCTGTCATTGCTAATTTTAATTATAATAACAATGATATAATCTACCTTTAGAATATATTCTATAAATCTAGAAACTGATTAAATAGTTTTATAAGATTGCCCAAAAGGGCTTTTTTTGTTTTTAAAAAAAAGGTTGATATTGTTTAAATTAACTTTTTCATTACTTCATTATAGATGCTAACAAAACAATTAGAAGTTTTAGGCTTAGCTGAAAAACCTCAGCTGGTTACTCGATTCCAGGAAGTTTTCCGGTCAATGTGGTCTGTTAATGGTGATTCGGTCAGTAAAATATATGCTGGAACTGGAGCTCTTGAAGGAAAAGCAAAGGTAATATTTTAATAGTAAATTCACTATTGGTATCTTAACTTTATGGATCTTTCCTGTATTTTGGACTACTATATATTGTAATCCCAGTGAAGTGTTGCATTTATCCTTGAGTTAGGATATTTGACAATTGCAATCTCTTTTAGTCATTTTTCTATAGTTCTTTATCATTTAAAAATCATACAATGACTGTTATAAAAACCAATATTTGTCTTGTTTTCCATTTTTACCACATTTTGCAGATAATCTTAAAGATTTAGCTCAGCAATGTGCATGAATAATCACACTAGATATATGTTATATTAAGTAGCTGTCAGCGAGCTGTAAGTGATACTATATAATTAGAATAGTCAAGCTAAAAATTTCATATAGCTTATCTTTGCCTGAATTGCCTGTATGTTGTATATGAAAACTAAATTACTAAATATATATTTTACTTATGGATTTCTATGTATTTTATCTATGACTTTTCAGAAGCTTATATAATCCCTAAATTGAGGAAAATAACATATTCTGTTATTTTCATTGCATGCATTTCTGTAATAATACCACGAAGATTAACTTTTTCAAATTAAAACTTGAAATATACTCATTTTTTTTCTACTGTAGTCTTTAACATCTTAACTAATCTTTCTTTTCCTTTTCTTTCGGGTCATTTCTATTGCCTGATATGTAATTGGTGAGTGTAATTCTTGAATATTATCAACTGTTCTGTATTGTGTTTAAAAATACTTACCGGTACATAGACCAAATGTAAGGAAGCAAAATGGTAAGATTTGATATTAACTCTTGTTTACTTTTTTAAAGGGCAGCTTTCCCTTTAGGATACTTTTTTTTTTTTGTTTAAAGGCCAGCATCCTTCAATATAGTTATTTCAAACCTCAAAAGTTAGTACAGAATTAATGCTATATAAATATTTTTAATTTAAGAAACTTTTGCTTCCAACAATTTCTGCTCCCATCCCAAGGGTTGGTTACAAATGGTATTATATCATATTAACAAACATAAAAATAAAGCAATTAAAAACTTATTTGGGAAAAAAGGTTGAGATGAATGAAATGATACAATGCTCTGTAGGACATTTTATATTGGCAGAACTATGTGTGGGCAAATCTCACAATTGAGATTCCTCTCAGTAATAAATTAGGTTGGAATATTACAATGACTATACTTTTGTAAGTTACACTTTATTTAACAGTGACCCTGAAACATGTAGACGATATTTTTTCATCCATTTCAGGAAGTGTTCAGTTGTGAAGTATAGAATATTTTGAAAAATAAATGTTGAGAATTGGAAGATATTCTTTTATCCTGTTTACAGGGTAGGCAAACCTCATGCCTTCCATTTCTAAAATAAATATATTTTTGTTGGATCACAATTGCTGCAATCTTTTTCCATTAGCTATGATAGTTTAGGAACAATGACAAATGAAATTAAAAAACTGCAGTGCATTATGCTGCCTCTGGAGTAAATCAATTGTTAAAGAAATGATTTTTCTTGTATCTCCCGTCTTTCTAAATTTTAAATTATGATTTAAACACACATATATACGGACATATAGATAGATGCCTATACATTATAAATGTGCTGTAAATACATATTTTTTTTGAGTGGTAAACATTTGAATTTATCAGTAGTGTATTGTCAGTAATTTTGCTATTTGTTTTCTATTGTTGTGTACCCTCCTTTTTCTTTGGTCAAAATAAGGTTAGGAGTGCTATATGATGTCTTCTAAAATTTACCCAATCTTTCAAAAACATCTTTATATGAATTTAATCTTTAAAAAAAACAGTATTTCCTGAGATATCCATTAAATAAGCCATTCCCTTTTCCTCACATGTTGTTCTATCTTATATTGCAATTTCAAAAATATGTAGTATGTGGAACACTGATCTTTACTTTCTCAACAGTTTAACACACTATAAATTAACTACTAATGATACTATGCAGATTTCCCCAAACACCATTAAATTTGTTTGAGTTCCTAACAATAGCTTTTCACACAATAATTGTCAGAATATTTCTTCAGGTAATGTGTTAATGTTTGTGCTTGTGTCTAATTGAGATCCGATTATCAACATACACCAAACCATGCCATCACATTTTAAGGACAGAATTAAGACACATCCATGAATAAACTATTCACATTTATCTGATGCAGTTTACAATGTCCATGTTCTGTGCTATTTGTAACAATATGAATTGTGCATGCCCCCACAGAGTATTCTTTATTTATTGCAATTGTTTTTCAAATGTGTGTTAGATCTAAGGAGTAAATAGCCCATGGTGGCTTCCTTTTTTTGGACTTTATGCTAAACAGTTCAGTTCTCCACTCTTTTCCATGTAAATTCTTATTTTCATATCATCTTACATTACAACAAAGCACTACTCTCAGGGCCATAACCAAAGCAGTCCTACAGATTTTCATTTAAAAATAAATAAATTCTCTGTCCTGTAAATTTATCTGTAACCCTAATAAGGCATCTATGATAGTTCAAAATTCACAATTGTCACTTTCAACCGTAGTTCAGTGAAAATTTAAGAGTCTTAAACTGAAACATATTATTTACCTATGTACTCGTCAGTTACTGTTCAAAAACAATATTTTTATATGAGGAATGCAGAATCACTTCAGGACTTCCTTTAATTGTGGGACTTTATTCACCTCCTCTCCCAAGAAAACCACAGTACAGACGGATTTTCTTTTATGCAGTGTAACAACTAGTCTCCTACTTTTTCTAATTTCCTGCAGTATTACTTTGTAACAACAGTACCATTGTGGAACTAAAGGTGACCATTTTGATAGAAGATATTCATTTCTTCTGCAGAGAGCCCGTATCTTCAAACAACACTTACTTATAACAACATGTAGCATGTATCACACTTTAGCTTTAGGCAACCTGAAATAAACCATCTTTATTCAGCTCAGCAAAAAGGCAAGAATGAAAGACAGTTTGAGAGAATAGGCAGCATTCTCTTAGTGAGGAGAACAAATTCACACAAGTGAAGTAGATGTAAAAATTGAGATGAAATACATAAAGATATAACATCACCATGACAGGAAAAAAGTTTTAGGAATACCACTGCCGCCTTCTCCAATGCAAGCAGAATTCTACTAAGAAAAAGTCTGAAATCAACCAATTGCAACTGAAACCCTTAAGAATAGTTTCTCCAGTGCACTGCTCGGAGAGTCCAAATGCTGGGTTAACACAGCCTATCTGCCCTTGGACTGAGTGATGTTTTTGTTGACCACGCCTCCCTTTGCCTCTGCATGCTCAGTTCGAAAACTCAGTCCGCCCGTTAGGACTGTTTTGGGAGAGCTCCAGTCTAAGGTCAGATAGGCTGGAAAAAGTTTCCCACTTTGGACCACGTTTAGACTCTCAGATAGAGAAAATTACAGCTACTACAAGAACTGTCAAATTGCCTCCATTGAGGCTTCTGTCGCTTTAAAAAAGGGCTACCGGGCTTAAGTCTGAAATCAACCAATTGCAACTGAAACCCTTAAGAATAGTTTCTACAGCATATGCTAAATAAATAGCTTTGTAATAGAAGGGTATTTTACTTTTCATAAATGCAAGATGTGCATGACCACTCTATGTAATTTTTTTGTCATTTAAATATTTTTTGGCTTGTATGTCTAAGGATTTTATGCTTGTCTTTGATCCTATCCCAGCATAAAATGTATTGATTTGCAAATTTGTAAAAATTCAGTTTAATAGTCCATGAAAACTAATTTATTTAATAGAAGACTGTTAATTGATTTAGAACCACATTATGTGTGCTTGCCAAACTGTATAATTGGCTTATAAAATATTTATACATTTTCCTCCCTACCAGACCGGAAAGCTGAAGGATGGTGCACGTTCCGTGACTAGAACAATTCAAAATAACTTTTTTGATAGCTCAAAGCAGGAAGCTATTGATGTTTTGTTGTTGGGCAATACCCTGAATAGTGATTTAGCAGACAAAGCACGGGCTCTCTTGACCACTGGCAGTTTACGTGGTATGTATTTCTAGATTCTTAATATGTATGGCTGCTAATAAAACTGGTTGCATCGAAGGTTTCACTTCTGCATGTGGAAGATTAGCTGCCTAAAGTCAATTTAGAGCTGGGTGGTACCAAAATCTAAAGAAAGAAACTCATTTTGCAAAAGGCAAAACCAAAGTACATTCTTCTTGCAAACATTTTGTAGAAGTATGAGAATTGCTTTATAATCCATGCACTGTATTGTTTCAGTACACAAATTCATGCTACTGTAGAAAAACTAGCATTTTTTCTGTTCATAATTTTTGAGCTATTGTATTCTATGTGCTCTAAGAAAAAATCAAAATATTTATTCTATAACAACAGTCTCCTTTCTTTAAATACTTGGCTATGCTTTAATTAGATTATTTTTGAGAACATCAGAAAATAAAGGAATCTCATGTTTATTATATATCAAATGTATGTATGAATAGACTATATTAAAACAAGAAAAAATCCCATATTTTCAGCAAATCTAACTACTGTTTGCAACTCCCTCTGCATGACAACTATTTATACTTGTACTTTAAATGTCTAGATTCTGGTTCTAGTCTGAATAATAATTTCAAAGTTTAGTTAATTAAATTTGCAGCTATTTCCAAGTTACATAACATTATATAGACAGATATATTATGTGCAATACTCTGCAGAAGATTAGGAAATTGTTTTCTAAATTTTTAACATTCAGTGTAAGGTATCCTGGAAATCTTCCAATATAACTTGGTAACATCTAACTGTTCGTTTAATTCTTTCCTTTCTCACTGCATCCATAGTTTCAGAGCAAACTTTGCAATCAGGTAGAGTATAGCACCCATAATTATCAATATATGGAATGATAATCAATGTTAAATAATTTTCAGATATTTTTGTTTCCTTGAAATGCATATAGAGTATTTTATGCACTCTTATAATGTAAACTATTCTATTATTCCAAGAACTATTTCCTATCTGTTAGTTTCAGATATACTCGGTCTTAAGGCCATCTTATTTTTATTCTTAAACAGAAAATAACATTGTCACTAGTAAAAGGCAAGTAGAGTGGATAGAGTATAAACTTTAGGTTTACTGTTATAAGAAAAATGGAATTGACAATCCTCAGTTTAAAAAATGACACTTGATTCTTAGCAATAATGCAGGAGACTTGTTTAGCTTGGGAAATATTTTGCAATTAACACTTTGAAAGACAAGTTATAGAAATTTTTGGTGCTAAACTTCAGATTTTAAAAGACAAAAATTTGGATTCTATGGCTCTTTCATCATGCTTATCCAACCAAAATGGTAGAATCATCTTATGAACTGAAGTGGTGAAAGCATGCTATTGTTCATCATTAAGACCAAGAAAATGCAAGACATGGGAGAAATACTGTTGAAGCATTAGGTGCTGAAAGTAGCTGACCTTTGCTACTTGCTGAAAGCAAGATAAAAAATACCTGTCGAGGTTTACATTTCAAATGGCCATCACTGTTTTATTTAGAATTTATTTTAAGATTCTGTCTGCTAGTAAGAAGAGAAACAAATGTGAATTTAATTTCTCTTCTTAGCAGCAGGCAGACAATTCAAAAAACAAATACTAAACTATCTGGTGGCTCATAGAAAGTACTGTGAGGAGAAACCAAATACACAGATACAATCAATAAATCGTAATCTGTAACAAACTTGTTCTATGTTCATATAGAATAAATGGTGAGTCTACTAGTTTCAAAAAAGTAGCTCAGATATACCACAGATATTTAATATAATGAAGATTTTTAAACATGGCTAAATGTAACTTTAAAACATGCTTCAGAATTCAGTTCTCTGAGCTATTATTTATGTAGAACTATCATTTGAAAAATTGATAAACCCTTGAGAAGGTACTTGCTCATTTGAATGCTTTTTTGTGGATTTATTTTTAAAGTTTAATGCTTCTAGCTTGTTGACTTGGAGATCAGAAATGTACTTACAAAATAAAATACTTTTGTGTAAACTACATTTTGTAGCATCATCAAAAATACTGACGAGCATGTGTGAGAACTTTTACAAATATTCAAAGCCCAAAAAAATTCGAATTTGTGTTGGAACATGGAATGTCAATGGAGGGAAACAATTTCGAAGCATTGCTTTTAGAAACCAGACTCTGACTGACTGGCTTTTGGATGCACCAAAGATAGCTTGCATCAGTGAATTCCAAGGTAAGCCTTGCTGTGTTGTTGTTGTTGGGTTTATTTTTATTTTTATTTACTTTGCATCTGTATTCTTTAAAGCAATTTTCACTCTTGAATTTCAGATCGAAAGAGCAAGCCCATTGACATCTTCGCTATAGGGTTTGAAGAAATGGTAGAGCTAAATGCAGGAAACATTGTGAGTGCAAGGTAGGTGCCACTACTTTATAAATATTAAATTAAACAGACTGCTAATCTGTAAGATACTTTCAAAAATACAACTTGCCTATTCTGAATCCTTGATGTCAATATTCTGCAGCTTTTTCCTATAAAAAATTGAGACAGTTGCTATGAATGCTTACCTGAAAACTATCACAACTTATTTTTTAAACAAATGGAGTATACACAGTTAGTGCACAAGGAGCAAATATGAATTCCCTAGGCTTTCTTATTGAGAGCCAGTTTGGGGTAGTGGTTAAGCCTCCAGGCTAGAAACTGGGAGATTGAGAGATCTGGTCCTTCCTTAGGCACAAAGCCTGCTGAGTAACCTTAGGTCAGTCACTCTGTCTCAGTCCTGAGAAGAAAACAGTAGCAAACACTTCAGACATCTTGCCAAGAAAACTTGTCAAAACTGACTGAGAGATAGCACTCTACTTTCTTCTTATTTATTTATTTATTTGTTTATTTAATCAATTTGTAAAGCTGCCTATTTCAATAAATTACTCTGGGCAGTGAATGATAACAAGTAGAATAAAAGCAATGACATAATACATATAAAAATACACTCCCACCCACAAAGACAAGCAAGTCACCTGAATATAGCAAACAGCATTCCTTCCTACAGTAGTATTGATGATGACTTACCTAGTTAGGGTAATGATATGTCTGCAAGAAAACAAGCAAACTCAGAGAGCACCAAAGACCCCCTCAAATATAAAAAAATAAATACAAAAATTAAAATATAAAGCAGCAGAGAAAACAACATATAGTCAACAGAGGTAGTATAGCCAGCAGATTACACACCTTTTATACACTCAGACCCAAGATCAGAACAAGATCTTTAGCACCTTAACAGTCAGCAGTGTTGAGACCATCCTGGCCTCTGGATAGAGAATGTTCCATAGAATGATCACTATGGAGGAAAAAGGGGAAAAAATCTTTGTCCCTACCAACAAGCATTCTTCAGCTAACGACCTAAAGCATGCCTATCCTGATGGACCAGATAGGACAGGAACAAACAATGGAGCAGAGGCAGTCCCTCAAGTAACCTGGTCCCAAGACTTTAATGGTGGCAACTAGCAGCTTGAGTTGCACCAAGAAGCATGCTGACAACCAATGCAGTGCATGAAGTAGTGGCATTATATGCACCAAATAACTGGTGCCATTAAGTACTCATGTTCCTGCATTCTGCATCAATTAAAGTTTCCAAAGGCACTTCAAGGGTAGTTTCACTACAACACATTGTAGTAGTCCAATCAGGAAGTAAGTAAGGGTGTAACTGGTGCAAAACTTAAAGATATGCAAAGGCCCTCCTAACGATGGCTGCAACCTGCTCCTTCAGCAAGACCTGTGATTCCAAGAGTACCCCCAGATTTTGTACCAAGTCTGTCTGAGGTACTGCTACCCCACATCTCTAACCAAAAATAGAAAATTCCTAGCAATAAAAGATCCAAACACCCAAAGCTACTTTGATTTCCTTGGATTGAGCTGAAGTCTGTTGCATCTCTTCCACACCCCTAGACGTTTCGCGCACTTGGACAGAATGTCCATGGCATCATTCAAGTAGTCTAGGGTGGAGATATATAGCTGGATATCCTCAGCATTCTGGTGACACTTCACCTCAAACTATCAGATGATCTCACTCAGTGGCCTCATGTAAATGTTCAACATGGGAAAGTCATCTACCATATTTTTTGGAGTATAAGATGCATCTTTTTCCCCTAAAAAGAGGGTGAAAATCTGGGTGTGTCTTATACACTGAATACAGCATTTTTGACCTACTGAAACTAAATCCCCTTTGCAAAAATGGTCGTGCAGAGGGTTTGGGAGGCTTGCAAAGTGCTCCTAGGGGCTGGGGAGGGCAAAAAGGAGCAAAATATGGCCCGTTTTTGCGACACCCCCCCCCCACCCCCCAGGAACACTCTACAAGCCTCCCAAAGTTCTGCATCCCCCCTCTTTTTTTTTTTTTTTTTTGCAAAAAATGAGGCGTGCAGATGGTTTGGGAGGCCTGCAGAGTGCAAAAACCTTTTTTTAAAAATCACCTCTTCAAAATCATGGTGCGTCTTATACTCTGGTGCATCTTATAGTCCAAAAAATACACTAAGTCCTGCAGTACTTCCCAAGGCAGGAGTTGTGGACTGGATCTCTTCTCCACTATTAACACTGATTGAAATCTACCTCAGAGGAAGAACCAGCACAGCCCTGTACTGCCGACCCCCATTATTGGTCTAGAAGGATACCATGGTCAATGATAATGAAAGCTGTGAGAGGTCAAGAAGAGCATGGATGACTGCACTCCCTCAGAGTGTATGTATTAGTGTGTACTAGTATTAAAATATGTTAAATGGCTGTTTACATCAGTTTCAACAGCACATCCCAATTATGGAAACAAGTCTATGTATTTTGTAGACAGCTACTACAGGCATTTTTGTCTGTTCCGTATGACTTTTTTGGGTAAATACATGTAATCCTCAATTACCAACCACAATTAGCCCAAAATGTCTGTTGCTAAGTGAAACAGTTATGTGAATTTTGCGCCAGTTTACAATCTTTCTTGCCACAGTTGTTAACTGAATCACTACAATTGTTAAATTAGTAATACGGTTGTTAAGTGAAACTGGCTTCCCCAGATCTGGCTTGTCAGAAGGTCATAAGAGATGATCACATGATGCAAAAGATGATCAAATGATTTCGGGACATTCCAACCATCATAAATATGAATCAGTTGCCTGACATTTGAATTTTGATGACATGACATGGAGATGCTGCAGTGATCTTAAATGTGAACAAAAATATTGTAAATAACTTTTCAGTGCCATTGTAACTTTGAAGGGTCACTAAACAAATTGTTGTAATTCTCAGATTACCTGTATTACTACAAATTCCTACTTTTCAATTTTAGGTTTTTTTTTTTAAAGAACTTACCGTAATTATTTTCAGAAAAAAATAATGTACATGTCCTATAAAAACTAAAATATTATTTTGTCTATACTGGCAGTACAACTAATCAGAAGTTATGGGCTGCTGAACTGCAGAAGACGATCTCAAGAGACTACAAATATGTTCTCTTGGCTTCAGAACAATTGGTGGGTGTGTGCCTCTTTGTATTCATCAGACCTCAGCATGCCCCTTTTATCAGGTAAATGTTCTGATATGTTAAAACCAACCATTTTAGGTCATTTTATCACTCTGATGAATGTATTTCAGCTATGTATTAAAAACCATGAAACAAGCTTACAGATATAACCACAGATAATGAATATTCCTATCCTATTTTCACATTTTGTGACAATAATCAACTTTTATGTAATTATACTTACAAAAGTATCTGATAAAGAGAAAAAAGTTTTGATACACATTCTATTTAGTATGTGCTTGGGAATATTTTTCTTGCTATAAAATGCACTATAGAAAGCTCTCCAGAGAAATTGAGAAACAGAGAGGAAAGATACACTCAATTGGACATTTTTGAGTGTGTCAGAGAAGTTAGGGATCTGCTAGTACCAAACAGATTACATGTTCCTCATAGAATCCTTGCTGTGACATCAAGTTGGATTTGATATAACTTGATTTCCTCATCCTTGTTGCTTTTCTATTGGTGGGATATGCACAAATTGAATGAAATCGGGCCTTCCCTCACCACCCATCCCTCCCCCCCACAAACACAATATTAATTGCATTTTGATGTTTTGGGTTTCCTGATTAATTCCATTAATTACCTTTTTTTAAGATTTCTTTAATTTTTCATTTAAAAGAAGCTGGAGTACAGCAAGTAAAGTCACAGCATCACCCATAAAGTCATAGCATTTTGCATCATCATCTACTCTCCTTTAGCTCTTTAGTAATCCCTAGAAAATATATACTGTATATCTGTCTCAATTCACAGTACTGAATTGAGGTGGCAGAGAATGTCCAGGGTGGCAGTTAAGAATTTTATTGGTCACCATTCTGACAAAACAGTGTTTGTGACTGGTCATGCCTGCTTAGACAGCCTTCAGCATGCTCTCACAACCCCAAATAGGAGTGAGAAGACAAAACATTTACCAAATGAAAGAAATGGGAACAACAAGTTAGTAAATAATAGAGTTAAACTAAGCAAACATTTATTCATGGAAAGCAGGAAGATTGGAATATCTGAGGAGTACAAAGGTGGGTTTCTAGCATCAAAAGTCCAGGCAGGGGGCCTTCTGGCAATTTGATACAGAAGGCTCAAAACCATAATTGAAGGGAAAGCTCTCTAACATACTCTGTTTTGGTTTAAATACTATAACTGAATTACTTCTTAAATATTTTTTATGTTATAATAACAAAATAATCTTGTAAGCGCTTTTTTTAAAGTAAAACATTTTATTCTATTACCAAGTTGACTATAGTTACAATTGTTTTAAGGGGCTGTCCATAGTATATTACAACAAATACATATACTATTCTCCTGAGCGCTGCTTGGAGAGTCCAAGCATGGGTTAACACAGTCTATCTGCCTTAGGACTGAGTATCTTTTTTCCGTTTGACCACGCCTCCCATTGCCTCTACAATCTCAGATTAAAAACTCAGTCCGCCCAGTGAGGACTTGAATTTGGGGAGTTCCTCGGTCCTAGAGCAAATAGAGTGGACTTCCCATCATAAGTACTGTTCTATTACCATTACATCCCTAAGACCACCTCATCTGTTGGACATCTGATTCTGCTGAGAGTTGTGAAGCGTCTTACAGCTGCTTGTCGCTGCTGACTCTGTGCAGCTGAATGCCGCTGGTGGAAGCGGAGCGGAAGCGTGAGTCGTTCGCCCGGTGTCTGCCAGTGAACGGTGGGGGGAGGAAGACTTCCCTTGTCATTCCCTTCGTGTCACAGATGTTCCAGGTAGTGCGGAGCCTTCTCGCTGGCTCGAAACGGTTCGGGCGGCTTTCCCTGCACTGTCGGCTGTTGCGTCGGCCATTTTGGAGATTCGCACGCTTTTCCCCAGCAACAGGGGCAGGAACCGTGCATGCAGCGGCAGCCATTTTGGACAAGCCGTTTCGCAACCGCGTGTAGCCGGTGTGAGCGAGAGACGTTTACGTGGGCTGCAGCGAACCAGGGAAGCGGTCTCCATTGTCTCCTGCTTGGAGCCGCTGCGATCGGCGGGCCGCCCCACCATACCCCAGCAGCATTGCGGATCGCCATCCGGGAGGCCGGAAACTTGTCTGGGGTGCCAGCAAGTTGCATCCAGCTGGAGGGCTGTGGACGGCCTGAGGAGGGGCCTAGTCCTGCGGGCATCCCTCTCCTCCATGATCTGCGAGCGCCATTAGCCAGCTGGCTTGTGCCCAATTCGGCCTAGTGAATCAGCTCCTCGTCGCCTTCTTTTTAGCTGAACCACCATTCCAGACGGCGGTTTGGAGCTTCAAGAGGCCCAGTCACGGCCCTCAGCCAAACGGGCCAGGCTGAATCACCCGCCCAAAGGGGGCAAAGGGAACAAAGGCTCTTCCAGTAGGCACCCCATGGGGCCTTCTGAGGGCAATGACCATAAGGATAGTGCCAAGCACCGCAAGGGGGGTTCCCCTATTCTACGGGAGCATCACCCATCCCCGGAATGCAGGGAGGCACCTGATCCCACCCCAGGGCAGAGGCTTGAGCAGGGACCTGGCTCCCCCAGGGCGAGCAGGTCACCGTCATCAGCAGGGGATATATCCAGGGATTCCTCCCCTGCAGCTTCATGGTGAAACCCAGATTCTCCCAGTTCTTCCCTGAGGGAGGAACTGGCGCCCTCACAAGTTTTCTCTCCCCTCTGAGGAGGGCTCCACCTCCAGGGCCTACAGGAGCTGCAGGAATTCTAGTAAGGCTCACCGCAGGGAGAGCAAGAAGTCGGCCCTGTCCGCAGAGATGAAGGAGGTCATATCTCTGGCCATCTCCCAGGGCATTGCTGAGGGCATGAAGTATCGTACTGGTAAAGAGGCCCCTTCCAAACCTAAGTATGGGTCCAAACTGACCCCTGAGCAGGCTCCGGTCTCCCCCAGCACTTTGGTGGCTACGGAGGAGTCTGCTCTGGAAGAGGGGGAGTGGGAGGACTTTCAGTTGTGGAAGACGAGGACCTCCCTCCAGACAAACCGACCTTCACCGGCCTTTTTAAGCCTTCTCTCTTTAAGTCCATCCTACATAAGGTGAAGGCGGCCACAGAGTTAGGAACCACTCCCAAGGGGTCTACCTCTGGGGCCTCAGGCACCAGAGACCACAAAGAAGGCCTACTTAAGGAACCAGCCTCGACACAGGAATTCATTCCAGTGCCGGAGCTCTTCATGGACGTGGTCCAGAGGCAGTGGATTCAGTCTGGGACCTTGACCAACCCTGGTGGGGGTGACAAGTCTTTGTACACTGTTGAGCAAAAAATGGAAGAAGTCCTGAAGCTACCTGAGGTAGATGTTCCGGTGGTCTCTCTGACCTCTACCTCCAACCTGCCGGCGGACCTTCTAGAAGGTCTCAAGGCGGAGGATAAGAAGTCAGAGAAGGCGTGCCTTAAAACTCACCAGGCAGCCGCCTGGGCTATTAGAGCCTCCACCTCCGCCTCATTTTTCATAAGATCTTCTCTCCTCTGGCTGAGGCAATTGAGATCCAGACCCCACTCTGGGGGATCTCGATGGAGGCACGACTTAACAAAAATCATCACAGCGGTGGAATATTCCACTGATGCGTCCTTAAATGCAGCAAAATTTGCATCCCAGGCACTAGCTTCTAACATTACCGCTCGCTGTTTGCTCTGGCTTCGCCACTGGCCGGCAGAGATGAAGGCAAAGTGGAAGCTGGCGTCTGCCCCATTTAAAGGGGGTCTCCTCTTCAGAGACGCCTTAGACAAATTCACCATTGAGACAAAGAACAAGAGAAAAATCCTTCCTGCCACCCTGAAGAAAGCAGGCTGCAAGGGATCTGGCTCCTTTCGGAGGATAATGCCCAGCCTTCCACCTCTTCTTCCTACCATAGATCCTACACCCAGCAGGCGATAGGGGTCAGGACAGGGGCTCCTTTGGAGCACAGGGTAGGCAGAAACACCAGCAAAGCTCCTTTTGCAAGCCTTTTCATGGTGGATCCAATTCTCGAAACTTCCGCAAGGGGAAGTGACCACCACAGGGATCCCCTCATAGGGGGTCGGCTGCATTTTTACGCCAACAGGTGGGGGCAGATAACCACAGACAAGTGGGTACTGAATACGGTCAGGAGGGTTCTCCTTCTGGAATTTCTGTCCTTCCCCCAAAGAACATTCATCCGCTGTCCATCTCACAGGAGTCCCATCAAAAGGGAACTCATGCAAGCGGAGATCCGCCACTTCGTTCAGATAAGAGCCATAGAACCGGTCCCCAAGGAGCAGGAGAAACGGGTTTTACTCCATACTGATCATCCTGGGTTGGACATTGGCTGCAGGCCGGCATTAAACTGGCGTACGAACTTCATGGCAAGGCCGTGCCGTGCCGTGTGATGGCTCACTCCACAAGAAGTGCGGCCACGTCTGCTGCAAGGGCGATCCAGGTATCAATCATTGACATTTGTCGGGCAGCCACGTGGGCATCCCCCACAGCCTTCATTCGCAATTACAAAATAGACACCTTTGCCTCGGCCAAAGCCTCTTTGGGGCGAAGAATTTTACAAAAGGTTGCAGAGGCTCCGGACTCTACGAATTCTTCCCGCCCTGGGACTCTTCAAGCAGTGCTCAGGAGAAAGACCGTTGGCTTACCTGAACGGTCATTCTCTGGGCGCTGCAGGAGAGTCCAAACCCACCCAGGGTCTTATTGCCTCTGGTGATGACTTCGAGGAACAGTGGAGGCGGTCCTGAACGGAGTCTTCTTCGTTTTTAATCTGAGATTGTAGAGGCAAAGGGAGGCGTGGTCAAAGGGAAAAAAGTTACTCAGTCCTAGGGATTGATAGACTGTGTTAACCCATGCTTGGACTCTCCTGCAGCGCCCAGAGAACGACCGTTCAGGTAAGCCAACGGTCTTTCTGAGGGGAGAAAATGCTCACTTCAAAATTGGGAAAAAATATTTCCCACAGTATTTTCTATTCGAACTGTATCAAAATGTTCCCAACCAGCATGAACCCCAAAATTCAGGTTGAAACTGATATAAGAATAAATATTCTTGGTAAAATACTATACTATTGTATGAAATATTGTGCAGGACCATTGAACATACTCAGTGATGGTAGAATCTGATCATATCAGACAGTGAAAATTATTTGTAAGTGATAAGACTTAAATGCTTTGAAAATTTGAACAAAAATGGAAATTACATCTTTTGACTATCTAATTTTAATTCTCATTGTAGGGACGTTGCAGTAGACACTGTAAAGACTGGTATGGGAGGAGCTACTGGTAATAAGGGCGCAGTAGCTATTCGAATGTTGTTTCATACATCCAGTCTTTGCTTTGTATGCAGTCACTTTGCTGCAGGGCAGTCACAAGTCAAAGAGAGAAATGAAGATTTTGTGGAAATATGTCGCAAGCTGAGCTTCCCAATGGTAAGATGAAATTAAATCGCCTAATCAGATATTGTCTGAAAAGATTCTAATACCGAATTTTAAGAAACCCTCAATAAATATTACATGAACAGATTTGTGCAAAAAACATGACCATTTAGGTATTTATTTAGTAATTATTATAAAAAACCTATTTCTAATAATCTGCCCTTACTTTCCGTGATATATCAAATATTTTGAAAGTAAAAATAAATTTTAATTTTATTAGTTTTTAATGAACAATATCAAGTGACATTAACATAAATCTATGCAAAAAAGGGGGAAATATGGAAAAAATAAAATTGTCTGCTGCAATGAGGATAAAGGAGCAGGTATTGTGCATTTAAAAATTGTCATATATATGAAGTTTACCAGTTTATTTATTACTATTTTGTTTATTAATTTATATGCTGGCCCTGTCACATATATGGATGGATGGATAGATAGATATATTTCAAAAGTTACATATATAACTGAAATCAAGGAAATGGTTGACACGAGGATAAGATTGTCTCACCCTGTCAACTACCTCCAGCAATCAGCAACCCCCTTAGCGCCCCAACCCAACTGGCAGAACCAGGATTTGGTCTTTTTTACTATTGAGATAAACCATAAAGCCCATCCAACTATCATAAAATTGTGGTTCCTGTCTTTGATGTCTCATTAATTAACTTTATATGTGGTTCCCCACCCCCACCCACCCCGATATAATAGGTTTTACTTTTACTAACCTGCAACTCTATGGTTATATTACCTAGAGTTTTCCAATGTTGCATTGAGTTTTTTATATTTTTAACCTTGTGATTTGGTCTCGTAAATAAATGCAGTAAATCTATTTCTGGGGAGCATTCAATTCTTTGATTAGTGATGGTACCTATCTCCCCAAAGACGATGTGAAAAAAGCTATAAATTTATCATGTGACTACTACTACAAATGAGAAAAAAATATCCATTTTTGACCTCTCCACCATTTAGAAGAATAGTTGTGGTACACATGTGCCAATCCAACAGGAAGTGAATATAAATTAGCCTTGTAATTGGACTTGCAGGACCAGGCTAAGAAATAGAATAAACATCTTAGCACTTAGACTTATACACCGCTTCATAGTGCTTTTACAGCCCTCTCTAAGTGGTTTACAGAGTCAGTATATTGCCCCTAACAATCTGGGTCCTCATTTTGCCCACCTCGGAAAGAAGGAAGGCTGAGTCAACCTTGAGCTTGGTGAGATTTGAACTGCCAAACTGCAGGTAGCAGTCAGCTGAAGTAGCTTGCAGTACTGCACTCTAACCACTGCGCCACCTTGACTCATGATCTAAATCAGTTCATTGAAAATAAATATTTATGGTTTTCTTCTGATGTCCTGTACTTATGTGCTGTGATAATCTGCTGTGTAGTTATGTTTGGTTGATGAAGGATTGTAGAGGTAGAAAAAACACTCTGTACATGTATTGTGGTTGCTGTCAGTTGCAGATAAATAAAAAAGTGTCTGAAATATATACTGAAATGGATGATACAGTTTTGATAGTGCAAAACTGAAATTACCCACATCTCTCTTTTTTCAAATGGAGACTGACAAAAGATTGCGAATACAAGTATTGCGATCACAATTGAGCCTAAAATTTCTGTTGCTGAGTGAGACAGGTGTTAAGAGAATTTTGTCCCATTTTATAACCTTTCTTGGCACACTTGTTAAATGAATCACTGCAGTTGTTCAGTTAGCAACATGGTTCTTATGTGAATCTGGCTTCCACATTGAATTGGTCTTTGAGGAGGTCAAAAAGGTGATCACATGAGCTCAGGACACTGCGACCGTCATAAATATAAGTCGGTTGCAAGTGTCTGAATTTTGATCACATGACCATGGGGATGGCGACAATGATCGTAAGAGTGAAAATCAGTCATATGTCACTTTTTTCAAAAGGTCACTAAATTAACAGTTGTATGTCAAGGACGACCTGTACTGTAATTTAATAACAAATATGTGTTGTACCGAAATTCAAAATGGTCGCACTGATTTCTTCTTGTATTTCAGGGCAGAATGCTGTTTTCACATGACTATGTATTTTGGTGTGGTGATTTTAATTATCGTATAGATCTTCCTAATGAGGAAGTAAAAGAATTAATTCGGCAGCAGAATTGGGATGCTCTTATTGCAGGAGATCAACTTGTTAATCAGAAAAATGCAGGGCAGGTAACATTGCATATTTCCTTTAAAGATATATGGTTTCCTCTTTGCTGTTAACTGTTGCTGTTAAATGTTAACACCTTCATTATCAAAGGCTAGTTAGTTAACTGGCTTTTTAGAAGTATTACTACTCCGATGGGTCGTATCAGTTATTTTGTGTCCCAGAGTAATATGTTTCTGTTTCCAAATAGGAGTTTTTCAGTTCATATTTGAGGCTCTAGAATCTCTTTTAATTGCACTTAAGCAAAGAAAACCTTAGCACTGCTTTCTTTGATTTTGCACAATTTGAAAAGATTGGATTTTTTTTTAATCATAAAAGCTTTTATTTTTCATTGCTATTGGGCCATTAGGAGCCTTGTTTTCTTGATATTAATGAACCTTTTGATATTTTATCTGCCAGAGATCCTATAAGCTCCAGTCATAACCAATTTGCATATATTGTACATGTGGTGTTGGTAAATTAAGTATCATTTGAATACATTTGTTCTGCTCAGATCTTGCTTTCTTGATGCTTAGTGTATTGCTTTACCTCAGCCAATGGAAGCTGAATCCAAATAAGATGGTCAAAAATGGCAGGTTATAGTTTGATTATGATTGTGCAGCCCAAACGTGCATTACAAACGGAGATATACTGTACATAATAAAGCATAAAAAGTTTTTCAGAAGCCACTGAGACTTGGAACACTTGTGGATTTCTCTTTTGGCTGATGAAAATAAAAGCATGCAAGTAAAAAATTGAAACAATGCTCCCTAATATATACCATGAAATAATTTTCTCTAGTTTTAGTTCCATTTCATTTTTAGTGGTCAATTCAGATATAATTAATAGGAATAATAGAATGATACAAATAAAGTGTCTACATAAAGAAATAATAAAAAAGAAATAAAAAATATCATTTCCATTGCTTGTATTCTTTTTAAAAAATCAACAATCTCCACAGTCGCCATTCTGTTTGATCTACAAGTAGAATATCTTCGGTAATAATTTATTAAAATCGTATGCTATCTGACATGATTTCCAATAACTCTGGGTAGTTCATAACAATAAAAATACAATAAAATCAATAAAGATAATAAGCACAAGAAAGTAGATGAAATTTAGCAAGGGATCTCACTTTTCCTTCTCAAAGACCTTGTTGAAGGTCACCCCAAGGGTCTTCTTGGTTATTCTAAGCAATAGCAGAAAGAAATCCAGATCTCAGGCGGTATTTCATTTTCAATGGGTAGACAGTGCTACAGAGAATGTATTTTCCAAGGGTCCCAATAGATTGTTGTTTAATTGAAGGAACCCCAATTGTACCAACTCTGGAAGATTGAATTAGGCAAGTAGATACTATGGGAGACAGGTGGACCCTCAAGTAATCAGGTCCTATGCTGTGTAGCCCTTTATAGGTAACAACCAGATACATAAGTTAAATTTTGTAATTTCGCTTTAGTTTTCAGTTTTCAAATTCTTTGTGCAAAAAAATCAGACACAACTCTTTTTGATATACTGGCTTCCTTTGAAGTGGTATAGTAGAGGAAGACATTCTATAAATTCAGTCAGACTAGTCTTTAGGATGTAAAAAAAAAGTTGCTATGGGATCACTCATCATACATATAGCCTCAATACTAGACTATGCACATGAATTATATGTATATCTTCTTCAGCCTATTTGGTTGGAAACTTCAGCTGGTCCTGAATACATATACTTTGGTAAGGATCGCCCTATTTTAAGATCTTGCCAACCTTAACGCTGAGAGAGAGTAGTATTTTAACTTAGTAAGACTAGTTACAGTAAATGCGTTTCAGTATACTGGCATCTGATAATGTGGAATCTAGGTTATTATAGAGTACAATTGAGTATTGTAAAATGCCACATTTTTTTCCATCTTTGAAGACCTATGGATGTCATAAGGGAAAAAAAATCCCCAACATCAACATTCATAAAATATATCTTGACTATTTTTAATAATTATATTTGGTCGCTTTTTCAAATATATGTGTCATTTATACAGTCTGCAGCACTTATTTTTAGATTTTTTTTCTTTCCTCTTGTAGGCAGAGTTCCCCCCACCCTCCACTCCCTAAATTCTACCTAATCTACTAACAGTGTCAGCTATGGTATTAATGTCACTTATAATATTCAGAATTTCATAAATAAATTTTATACAGCAAAGTTAAGTTTTGCTTTGTAGCTTTGTATGATATTGGTATAATATTAAAGTTTTCCTAATGCTCTAATTTCCTTCCTACAGATATTTAGAGGCTTTGTTGAGGGAAAAGTAGCTTTTGCTCCTACATACAAATATGATTTATTTTCGGATGACTATGATACCAGTGAAAAATGTCGTACACCAGCTTGGACAGATCGGATACTGTGGAAAAGACGAAAATGGCCTTTTGACCGATCAGGTGAGATAATGAAATGTAATATTGCCAATACCAAGTAGTCTGATAAGGATTATTTCTGTAAACATTCTGTACAAAAATGGAAAGTATTAGAATTATAAGAAATAATTATATCTGATTCATGGATATTTTTGGTTTTACTTTCATGTGGGAAGGCACAAACATTTTAACACTAGAAATTCATTAAATATATTCTAAAAGTTTCTTTCTAATAAAAAGGGTATTGTGAAAAAAGCCCTGAAGTAAAATTCCGATTTACTGCTTCAAATATTTTAATTTATGTACTTGTAGATTATATATGTATGTTTCAGTACAAAACTGAAGTGAGAATTTCAGACTGATTTCCTTTTCCCTTTGTAATCCTATAATCTGAGGTCTCTAGAACATATCACATTTTTTTTATTTTAGCGGAAGACATGGACCTTTTGAACTCCAATTTTGACGATGAAAATAAACTTCTTTACACATGGAATCCAGGAAGTCTTCTATATTATGGACGGGCAGAATTAAAAACATCTGACCATAGGTTTGAACTTATCCTTTCATAACAGCTTCTCATCCTTTGAAAAACTATTCCAATATGATCCATGGCCTTGGATTAATTTATGACTTTTATTGATATATTTTCAGGCCTGTTGTTGCGCTAATTGATATAGATATTTTTGAAGTTGATGCAGAAGAGCGACACAAAGTTTACAAAGAAGTAATTGCAGTTCAGGGACCTCCTGATGGCACTATAATGATTTCCATTAAAGGATCATCATTAGAAGATAACTATTTTGATGATAATTTGATTGATGAACTTCTTCAAAAATTTGCAACTTATGGTGAAGTTATACTTATAAGGTTAGAACGAATTCAATTGTAAATACTGCATTTTTTTCTTAAAATGTTCAAAATCTTTTATTTGGAGTAAGCTAAAATAATAAATCTTTATGTTTAGAATATTTTGGGGAAATTATGGTAGGACATGAAGCAAAATTATTCCAATTTTCAGAGAGGCTTCCAGCATAGTCTTTTCTACAAGACTAATGATAATACAATTAGTCCTCAACTTACAAGAGTTCATTTAGTGTCCATTCAACGTTGCAACAAAAGTTACTTATGACCTTTTTATGACTTTCTGACAAACAAAGTCAATGGGCATTTTGGACTCAATTGTGGTCAAAAGTCAAGGACCACTTATATATTTTCAGCAGTAGAATAAAATACAAATGCTAGGTATGCATTTTAGAGTTTCTTATATGTATTGTTTCAGGCCTTTTTATACTGCCTATGCCCTTGGTGCCACTGGTGGCATGCGGAGCCAGTTGTTAGGGCATACAAAGCATTGCCCTGTCAGCTGTAGCGCACCAGCTGACCGGCCTTCTTTTTTGGGTGTTTTTTTCCTTCCAGAGGCTTCCCTGAAGTCCCTGGAGGGCGAAAAAACACCCAATGTGCAAACCAGAAGTTCAGAAACCGACTTCTGGTTTGCGTGTTGGGCAGTTTTTCATGCTCCGGAACCTTCGGGGAAGCCTCCTGAAGGCTCCAGAGGATGAAAAATGGCCCTACGGACAAACCAGAAGTCATTTCTGGGTTGTCCATAGAGCTATTTTTCGCGCTCTGGAGCCTTCATTGAAGTTGCCTAAAGGCTGGAGGGGGGGGGGCAGGAGAGGCCCTCTGCAGGCTCCTAGAAAACCCCAGGAACCTGGGGAGGGTGAAAAAAGGGTGCATCGCGGGGGGGAGGGTAGCAGGGGACATATGCATAGCATTATGGGTGTGGGCATGCCCACAAACGCCTCCCCCAGGTTCCCTGCTTTTGGCATGCGATCCGAAAAAGGTTAGCCATCATTAGCCTATGGTTACAACCATAAATACCTTTGTGTTTCTATAAAAATGCATTGCTTGTAAATATGAGTATACCTGTGATTGGATATTCATCAATATCCAATTCAAGTGATGTAGTATAATATTGTATGATAAGAAGCATTGAAACAATCCAAATGGTATGGGAATAATATACAGAACAATGTTGGCACTTTCGGTTGGCAGTGTTTTACTTTAACTTATGAAAATTTGTAAATAATAATTTTTAACATATTTGGACATTTCCTATGCCAAAACATTTTTATGGCTTAGTGTTGTATGTCAGCTGGGCTACTACTGCATGTTAAATATATAACACTGTCTTAAGAATTATGGCTGTGTATTCAGTGTTCGGGTCTTAGAAAAACCAAATTGGAATGGCAAAAGGGTTCTCTTTATTCTTTTTATAGGTATTTTTAATTTCTTTGGAGTAAGTTTTGTAGCTATTATTGCATCTACATTTTGTTTCAGGTAGCCATATCATGCTAATCATTTGGGCCAAAGTAGAAATATTGAAAAAAACAAACTACAGAGAAAACATATAGATGAGTAGTAATCTTCAGTATGTTGTATCATTATGTTTAAAATTTGTTATACTTTACAGATTTGTAGAAGATAAAATGTGGGTGACATTTTTGGAAGGCAGCTCTGCTTTAAATGTTCTGGATCTCGATGGTATTGAGGTAACAATCATTTCTATTCTTATTTATACCTCTATAAATAATAGTGGTGTAAGCAGAGTATGTGATATTGTGATGTATTTTAGTATTCTCTAAACATTAGGTATAGATATTTGATAAGCCATTCTTGTGAAATTTGGGACTTAAGGTTGAGGGGCACTCTGCTTCAGTATACATATTTCTTCCTGAGTCAGTGGTATATTAGGACGCATGGGAATGATGAAGCAACATGAAGTGGTTGTTTCTAAGATTCTGATTGTTTCCACATATGTTTGCATGTATAACCTTATTTTATTTTGCAGCTAGCACAATGATGTCAACCTCAGCAAAACCTATAAGGGTAGTCCTCAACTTACAACCTTTTGCTTACTGACGCTTTGAAGTTACGACACTGAAAAAAGTAACATTACATTTTTCACATTTAGGATCTTTCCAACAGACTCATGGTCAAAGTTTGGACGCTTGGCAATGGCTCATATTTATGACAGTTGCAGTGTCCAGGAGTCATGTGATAGCAATAGCAGTAGACTTATATACCGCTTCATAGGGCTTTCAGTCCTCTCTAAGCGGTTTACAGAGAGTCAGCATATTGCCCCCAACAATCTGGGTCCTCATTTTACCCACCTCGGAAGGATG